TCATGGGGCCTGAACTCTAGACCTGGGCACTGTCCCTCAGCTCTTCAGCTCAAGGCTAGTGCTCTACCACTTGAGCCACAGCGCCACTTGCAGCTTTTTCTGCTCATGTGGTGCTGAGGAATCGAACCCAGGTCCTCATTCATGCAAGGCAAGCACTCTACCACGGAGCCACCTTCCCAGCCCCAGGATGACTTTTTTTTAACCATGACATTTTCTGTTGAGATGTCTACTGGGGATTGCACTATCTTTCCTTCATGATACTGTTTTTCCTTGATTTCCCTCTTTATTCTAAGTTTTACCTTTACCTGTCTAAGGAGTGGTTGTGCTTACTGAACTGTGGACTCATCTTTTTTAGGGGGTTGAGTATGGTACTTGAGTTTGAACTCAAGACCTTGTACTTGCTAGACTTGAGCCACACCTTAGCATCCCTGTCATTCTTTTTCATTGTGAAAGGTTCTTAAATATTATTTGTCAGTCTGTGATTCTTTTTTCTTTAAAAAATTTTTTGCCTGTTATCCTGTTAGGTATTCTTTGGACTTCTTTCTGTCTGTTGACCTATTCTGGGATACTGATTTTTTCTAATGTAACTAATTTCCTATTTAACTCTTTTTGCTGAGTAGCTTTTTTTCCTTCTGGTACTGGGTTTTGAGTTCAGGGCCTCCAGCTCTTGCTTGAATATTTTGCTCATAGCTGGCAATCTATCAATTGAACCAATTTCTACTTTTTGCTGGTTAATTAGCGATAAAAGTCTCTTGTATATGTCTACCTGATTTGAACTGAGATTCTTAGATCTTAGCTATTTGAGTAGTTAAGTATAAGCCACTGGCACTTGGCTCATTGAATTTTTAGTATCAGTGAATATATTAATTTATAGAAATTTATTTGCTCATTAAAAAAGTTTGCTGAATTTCACAGAGCGTGGTAATGCATGTGTGAAATTCTCCAATTTGAGAGGATGAGGAAGAAGGTTCATGTTTTGAGTTTGAGACCAACCTGGACTATATAGTGAGTTCTAGGTGAGTCTGGGCTATATAATGAAATCCTGTCTCAAAAAACTTTTTTTTTTTTTTGTCAGTCCAGGGGCTTGAACTCGGGGCCTGGACACTGAGCTTCTTTTGCTCAAGGCTAGCACTCTACCACTTGAACCACAGCGCTACTTCTGTTTTTTTTTTCTGTTTATATGGTACTGAATGAAGAATTGAACCAGGGTTTCATGTATGCTAGGCAGGCACTCTACAAGTAAACCACATTCCCAGCCCTTGTTTTTGTTTTTGTTTCAGACAGCTTTTACTATATAGTTCTATCTGACTCTAATCTTCAGTCTCCTAAAATGCTGGGATTACAGGCATGTATCACCATACTCTGAAGCATGCTCAGATCCAGCCTCCTAAGTAGCCACGGGTGTCCAGCTAACTTTTGAGTTGTATGTGTATGTGTTTTTTGTTTTGTTTTGTTTTGTTGGTTGTAGGTCTTGAACTCTGGGCCTGGGCTCTGTCCCTGAGCTCTTCAGCTCAAGGCTACCACTTGAGCCACAGCCCCACTTGCGGTTTTCTGGTAGTTAATTGGAGGTAAGACTCTCCCAGATTACTTTCCTGCCCAGGCTGGCTTTGAACTGCGATCCTCAGATCTCAGCCTCCAGAGTAGCTAGGATTACAGGCCTGAGCCATTGGTACCTGGCTTATGTGTATATTTTGTAATCTTAAATTACATACTTGTGTTCAGAGGTGTGAAGGAGTATTTTTCTTTTTTGATTATCTTATTTTTATTTAGTATAATTATTAAGAAGTTGTACAAAGGGGTTATAATCCCATAAGTCAGGTCATAAATACAATACTTCTTGGTTAGTGTCATCCTTTCCTTCAGTGTTCCTCATTTTTCTTCTCCTCTTCCTACCCTCAAGATACTTAATTCATTTTTTACACAATGTACATTGAATATAATGGCTGCATTTACTCACCCTTCCTTTCTTTTTTTTTTTTTTGGGTCCAGTCCTGGGGCCTGAACTCTAGGCCTGGGCACTGTCCCTCAGCTCTTCAGCTCCAGGCTAGTGCTCTACCACTTGAGCCACAGTGCCACTTCTGGCTTTTTTCTTTTTGCTTATGTGGTACTGAGGAATCGAACACAGAGCCTCAGGCATGCAAGGCAAGCGCTTTACCACTGAGCCACCTTCCCAGCCCTCACCCTTCCTTTCTTAAGGAGAGGTTTTATATTTCAGAATGAAAATTTTCTAGACTGAATTTGTTGAGTAAAAGTGAGGAAGAATAAAGTAACAGAGAATGATCTGAGAAAGAAGTTATTTCTTCTGAGAGTCAGAAAAATAAGTAAAAGTAAAGATGAAGAAACTTGAGCTATGCACAGTGGTCCAAGCCTGTAGTAGCTCATTGCGAGGCAGAGATTGAGAGAACTCAGATTGATTCCAGTCCTAGGCATAAGAGTTTGCAAGATGCCACCTTAACCAGTAGCTGGGAGCAGTAGTGATCCTGTTATCCCCAGGGAAGCTTTATCCTAATGAAACAATCAGCTAAATATTACCCAAATAAACATTAAACGGATGCTTATGGCAGAAATATTTTTGGTTAAAAAAATTGGAGATAGGGGCTGGGAAGGTGGCTCAGTGGTAGAGCATTTGCCTTGCATGCATGAGGCCCTGGGTTTGATTCCTCAGCACCACATAAGCAAAAAGAAAAAGCCGGAAGTGGCACTGTGTCTCAAGTGGTAGAGCGCTAGCCTTGAGCTGAAGAGCTGAGGGACAGCGCCCAGGTCCAGAGTTCAGGCCCCATGACCGGACCCAAAAAAAAAAATTGGAGATAAAAAGTTTATTAAAGCTGGGTGTGGTGGCTCAGATCTGTATTCCTAGCTGCTTGGGAGGCAGAAATCAGGGGGATTGTGCTTTGAGGCCAGCTTGGGCATAAAAATTTGTGAGACTCTATCTCAACCACTAGCTAGTAAAGTGGCAAGTGTTATCCCAGCTATAGGAGAAAGGTACTGACTGTGTGCAGTGGTGCACATCATCCCCAGGGACACAGGGAACCACAGATTAGGAGCATTACAGCCCAGATCTCCAGCATAAAATGAAACCATGCCTCAAAAATAGACAGCACAAGCTGGGTGCTGGTGGTTCATGCCTGTGATCCTAGCTACTCAAGAGGCTGAGATCTGAGGATTGCAAAGCCAGCCTGGGCAGGAAAAGTCTAAGAGATTCTTATAGCTAGTTAACCCCCAGAAAGCCAGAAGTGAAGCTGTAGCGCAAGAGTTCTAGCTTTGAGCACAAAAGCTCACCGTGCACATGCATGTGCACACACACACACACACACACACACACACACAGAGTACAGCGAGGCTCCAGTGGCTCATACCTATAATCCTAGCTACTCAGGAGGTTGAGATCTGAGGATCTAAGTTTGAAACCAGCCCAGGCAAGAAAGAATCTTTATCTACAATGAACTACTTGAGCAGGCTCAAGTGGTAGAGAGCTAGACTTGAGCAAAAAAGTTTAGGGATAGTGTCCAGGCCCTAAGTTCAAGCCCCAGAGCCAGCACTAAAATAAAACAATGCAAAAAGTAGCTTAGAAACTTGGCTCAGGGGCTGGGAAAGTGGCTCAGTGGTAGACTGCTTGCCTTGCATGCATGAGGCCCTGGGTTCAATTCCTCAGCACCACATAAACAGCAAAAGCCGGAAGTGGCATTGTGGCTCAAGTGGTACAGCGCTAGCCTTGAGCTGAAGAGCTGAGGGACAGTGCTCAGGCCCAGAGTTAAGGCACCACAACTGAAAGGAGGAGGAGGAGGAGAAGAGGAAGAGGGGGAGGAGGAGGAGGGGGGAAGGAGGAGGAGGAAGAGGAAGAAGAAAAAGAAAAAAACAACTTGGCTCAAATGGCAAAATGCCTGCTTAACAAGCACTAAGCACTGACTTCAGTCTTTAGTACTTCCCCTCCTTTTCCAAAAATGAAGGAACTTGGAAATAATTTAAAATTTTGGATTTAAGTCTATGGAATTATCTAAACCCCCTCCCCCCTTAAAACTGAGGATAGAGCTGTTTTAGTAGAGGAGATAGAATAGGTTTGAGTAATAACCGAGCATTTATTGTGTGTTTGTAAAATCTCAGGCATTGTGTAAGACTTTATTTATATGATTTTCTCATATAGTATTCATAGTGCAACCTTAGAAGACAAGTGATAGTATCTGGATTTTTTTTTCCAGTGTGCTGAAATTTTATGGGATTAAGTAACTTGTTTAACTACTAAATGAGGAACTACATTTTTACCTGTCTTTTTTTTTTTTTGTTGGTTGTGGGGCTTGAACTCTGGGCCTGGGCGCTGTCCCTCAGCTCTTCAGCTCCAGGCAAGCACTCTACCACTTGAGCTACAGCGCCACTTCTGGTTTTCTGGTGGTTTATTGGAGATAAGAGTCTCACAGTCTTTCCTGCCTGGGCTGGCTTTGAACCTGGATCCTCAGATCTCGGCCTCCTGAGTAGCTAGGCTTACAGGCGTGAGCCACTGGCGCCCCCAATCCAGTGAGCAATGATGCTCTGTATCTTTTGATAAGTTCTGTCTTCTTTTGAGATTTGAGAAGTTAAATATGTACTACTCTGCCTACTTTGCATTCTGTTTCGGAAGTATCTTTCAGTTTTGTGTAAAAATCCTTACAGTTTGAAATTTTTTAAAATAAGTGGTCTATTGCGTTCTAATGAGAGTTTCTAATATGGACCACTTATATTCTTTTAGAGAGCTAGACTTTTAAAGAAGGCTTTTTTAAAGGAGGCTTTTTTCTTTTTTTTGCTTATGTGGTGCTGAGGAATCAAACCCAGGGCCTCATGCATGCAAGGCAAGCGCTCTACCACTGAGCCACCTTCCCAGTCCTTAAAGCAGTTTCTATCTTATTCTTCTCAGTGTTTGTTGAGTAAAAATGACCTGTAACTGAAAACATTTTTATAATGTTGAGCTGTAAAATGGATAGGTATGAAAATTGGAAGGCTTTTTACTTATTTATATCTCTGATTATTAGAACCAGATCAACAGTAATCATCTACGAAGAGCAGAACAAGAGGTCACCAATCTACAGGAGAAGTTGCACTATCTTTCTGCCCAGAACAAAGGACTCCTTACTCAGTTAAGTGAAGCAAAGCGCAAACAGGCAGAGATTGAATGCAAGGTAAGCATATCAATAATGTAAGAATGCCTTTTGTAGATCTTTAGTATCATGAGTAGACTTTTTTCTTTTTCTCTCCTTTTATTTCTTTCATGTGTGTGTGTGTGTGTGTCTGTGTGTCTGTGTGTGTCTGTGTGTCTGTGTCTGTGTGTTTGTGTGTGTTGGTCATGGAGCTTGACAGGGCCTGGGCAATGTCCTTGAGCTCTTTTGCTCAGGCTAGTGCTCTATCACTTTGAGCCATAGCACCACTTCTGGTTTTCTGGTAATTGGAGATAAGAGTCTCATGGACTTTCCCTCCTGGCTTTGAACCATGATCCTCAGAGCTCAGCCTCCTGAGTAGCTAGGATTATAGGCATGAGCCACCCACATCTGGCTAACAAACCTGTTTTCAAACTGACTTGGTGTGTTTGTTTTTGCCATGCATGGGATTGAACCCAGAGCCTCATGCATAATAGCCCAGTGTTGTACCGACCAGCTGTGCTCTGGCTTTCTGAACTTGGTTTTGTGGTTTGTGGTTGCTTTTGGGCCACGTTAATTCTCTTGCTACTAGGGTGAATTTTAGGCAAGAAACCTCATTTTCCACCACAGTAGTGACATTTACTAGTTTCCCTTTACAATATTTGTTTGCCTAATATCCATTCAAAGCTGAAGATTTTAATGATACAACCAAAAAAGACATAATTTGGAGAGATTGGGCCTCCTCTGCTTTGATTAGTATCTTATGTATTAGTGGAAAGTCAATATTGATTTATATCTTTTGGATAAAGAGGTGAGCAAAAGAAATACTTATGTACTAATAGGTCAGAAAAAAATGTTATGTTTTCCATTACTATTTTAATCAGTTTAGGGTGTATGTGTGTGAAGCCTTTGATTTAAAAAGCATCAAAGTATTTGAAATCAAGTACTTTCTTCTTAAAGTAAGCTTATAATTGAATATACTGGGAGCATTAGAATGGATTACTGAAGACAATTTAGACATTTTAAAATGACCAAGATAGACATCCACTAGTAGGAGGTAGGGAGGGTGCACTTGTAATATTTCAGCCTTAATATTCTCTGAGAAATAAGCCTTCAATGGCACATATAAAGCTGTAATTCCATCAAGTTTCTCTAGTGTCATTAAAAACCAGTAGTGAAGCTTGAGTGGTTTATCAGTGTCACTGAAATCCAGAGATGAAATTACATCCTCATAAATATGCATGCTGTTATAATTTACACTGACAGAAATCTGTAGATAGAACTGAAATTTGTAGTAATGCAAGCACAGTCTATGTGTAGTCTGTTTGGAAGGCTATGACTTTACTAATTAAAAATAAACTATGTGATATGAGCTTATATTAACTTGATTTTTCTTGCTGATTAAGGTGAGGGTTTTTGTTTTTGTGTTTGTTTTTAGTCTGGTGCTGTACCACTTAAGCCATGTTTTCAGCCCACATTTTGTTGGGTATTTTGGAGATTAGGTCTAACAGACTTCTCTGCCTGAGCTGGCTTTGAACAACAATCCTCCAGATCTTAGCCTAGTTAGTAGTTAGGATTACAGGTGGGCCTTTGCTACTTAGCTTGAGGTTTTATAATGCTAACTTGTATTTACTATCTTATCTGTAATAGAGACCTAATTTAATCTGTTTGCCATAATTGATACAAACTTTTCTTGAGCCATTTTGATAAAAGTCTTATTGGATTTAATATTGTTGCTCAACACATGTTTGCAAAGTAAAATATTCTTTGGACATAAATATTTGTGTGACTTACTGGTGAAAATAATTATTTTCACTGAATTTATCTAAGGGATGGGTATAGACTCAGAATATTAGAGGATTTTAAGACCTGAGACAGTATTTTAACTTTTAATTGCTCATTAATGATAGAGTCTTCCTCATTTAAGGTAGAAGTTAGTTCATTCTTTTGTAATGCCTTTTGTAAATCTGAATAATCAATATCATTGGATTGTCATTCTAGCACCCAGGACTTTTTGATTATATGTACATATTTAACCTTGTTGTATTGGGACAATTCAGTAACAAATGTAACTTTCAAAGAAACCATTCTTCCAATTGTAAGAATCTGATTTATTTTCATTTAGTTTTATATGATTATATAATTTGTTGATAAGTAATTGTTAAAATTCATATAGCTGCTTATAATTTGTTTCCTATCCCACTAGGTATGGATATTTATACTTTACTGTTTGATTATGTGTGCAGTCTTAGAATTGTTGAGTAATAATGTAAGATTCATGCAGTATACTTCTTTTCTGATATCTGGAAAGTCTCAATTCCAAGACACCTGGTGTGTTACTTTGTTTGCCTAGAACAAAGAAGAGGTGATGGCTGTGCGACTCCGGGAAGCAGATAGCATGGCGGCTGTGGCTGAACTACAGCAGCACATTGCAGAGCTTGAGATCCAGGTACCAGTGAAGAGAATAAAATAGATGCAAATGCAATGTATCAGTTCTCTGTGCACCTGCATAATTACTTATTTATATCTTCATGCTCACAATGGCAATTCTATTTTCAGTACTTACTCATTTTCAAGATCATTTTTTAAATCACGGTAAAATATAACCATGCATTATTTGTGACTGGTTTATTTATTTCACTTAGAGTAGTGTCTTTAAAGGTCACTGATTCTGTAGTTGTGTTAAAGTTATTTTCCTTCTTAAGACTTAATAACATTATTGTATATATATATATAGGTATATATTGTATATATTATTGTGTGTATATATATATTTTGTTGGGTATTTTGGAGATTCAGTATAACAGACTTATAGCATACACACACACACACACATATGTATAGCTTTTTGATCATCTATCCACATTACTTCCAAGTTTGGGCTACTGTGAATAATGTTACTATGAATGTGAATGTGTAAGTATCTGTTAAAGTCCTTTCATTTCTTTCTTTTGTTTTTTTGTTTTTTTTGGGTCCGGTCGTGGGGTCTGAACTCTGGGCTGGGGTGCTATCCCTCAGCTCTTCAGCTCTAGGGTAGCGCTCTACCACTTGAGCCACAGCGCCACTTTCGGCTTTTTTCTTTTTGCTTATGTGGTGCTGAGGAATCGAACCCAGGGCCTCAGGCATGCAAGACAAGCACTCTACCACTGAGCCACCTTCCCAGCCCCATTTATTTCTTTTGAGTGTATATAGCACCTGGATCATGTTGTATTTCTGTTTAGTTTTCTGTGGAATTGCCATACTGTTTCTCATAGAACCTGCATTTTGCATTCTAAGGGTTCTGTTTTCTCCACATCATTAATTATCCTTGACACCCTTGCTTATTTTCTGAGGCTTAAAAAAAATAATCTGTGCCTGGCACCGGTGGCTCAGGCCTGTAATCCTAGCTACTCAGGAGGCTGAGATCTGAGGATCACGGTTCAAGGCCAGCCTGGGCAGAAAAGTCCGTGAGACTCTTATCTCCAAAACCACTAGAAAACCGGAAGTGGCGCTGTGGCTCAAGCAGTAGAGCGCTCACCTTGTGCTGAAGAGCTGAGGGATAGTGCCCAAGCCCAGAGTTCAAGCCCCACAACTGACCAAAAAAATAACAAAATCTGTGCCAAGTGCCAGTGGTTCATGCATTTAATGCTAGCTGCCCAGGAGGCTGAGATCTAAGGATTATGGTTCAAAGCCTGTCTAGGCAGGAAAGTCTATGAGACTCTATCTCCAGTTGTGCGCCAAAAAAAACAGAAGTGAACCTATGCTAGCCTTGAACATTGAGTTCAAATACTGAGTTCAAACAGAAGTGAAGTATAGCTAGCCTTAAACACTGAGTTCAAACACTAGGACTGGCGCGCACTCCCCTCCTCCCACACACACACACAAAAATACAATTTGTTTGACCAGTGTATTTGAAGTGATATCTCAACTGTGATTTTGGTTTACATTTTCTTTTTTTGGGGGGGGTTCTGGTTGTGGGCCTGAACTCTGGGCCTGGACGCTGTCCCTCAGCTCTTCAGCTCAAGGCTAGCGCTCTACCACTTGAGCCACAGTGCCACTTCCGGCTTTTTTTCTTTTTTGCTTATGTGGTGCTGAGGAATCGAACCCAGAGCCTCATGCATGCAAGGCAAGCGCTCTACCACTGAGCCACCTTCCCAGTCCCTGGTTTACATTTTCTTTTTAACTTTTTTTTTTTTTTTGGTCGGCCGTGGGGCTTGAACTCTGGGCCTGGGTGCTGTCCCTCAGCTCTTCAGCTCAAGGCGAGCGCTCTATACATTTTCTTAATGATTAGTAAAGTTCAGCTTTGTGTGTGTGTGTGCTATTCTTGAGGCTTGAACTTAGGGCCTAGGTGGCTGATCTTTTATAAAATATACAAGCTTGTCTTTTGTCTACTACCAAATCACATCAGAACTCCTTAGCATGAAATCCTCTTTATCTCATTGTTATCAAGACCTAGATTTTTAACTTTGTTTCTTTTTTTGCTTTTTTTCTTATTGGTCATGGGGCTTGAACTCAGGGCCTAGGTACTGGCCCTGAGCTTTTTCACTTAAGGCTAATGCTCTACCACTCACACAGTGCCACTTCCAGTTTTCTGGTGGTTAATTGGAGGTAAGAGTCTCATAGACTTCCGAACAGACCCAGGCTCCTGAGTAGCTAGGATTACAGGAGTGAGCTGCTGGTTCTTGGCTGGCTAGCTCTTTATTTCCCTCCCCTTCCTTCTCTCCCCTCCCTCTCTCTGTTCTCTTCCTCCCCTTCCTCCCCTCCCTCCTCTCCCTCCATTCCCTCCTTCTCTGGAAGTTGTGGGGTGTGAACTCTGGGCCTGGGACCTCTGCCATTTGAGCCATACTGCCACTTCCGGTTTTCTAGTGGTATATTGGAGATAAGTCTCGTGGATTGCCCCTGCAGTTGGCTTTTTCTTTTTCTTTTCTTGTATGTTTTGGGGCTTGAACTCGGCCTGGGCGCTATCCCTCAGCTCTTCGGCTCAAGGCGAGCACTTTACCACTTGAGCCACAGCCCCACTCCAGTTTTCTAATGATTTATTGGAGATAGGAGTCTCACGGCTCACGGTCTTTCCTGCCCCGTCTGGCTTTGATCAGCGATCCTCAGATCTCAGCCTCCTGAGTAGCTAGGATTACAGGTGTGAGCCACTGGTGCCCAGCCTAATTTTGTTTCTTTCTTTTCTTTCTTTTTTTTGGGGGGGTCCGGTCATGGGCCTGAACTCTGGGCCTGGGCGCTGTCCCTCAGCTCTTCAGCTCAAGGCAAGCACTCCCCAACTTGAGCCATAGCGTCACTTCCATCTTTTTTTTCTGGTTATGTGGTGCTGAGGAATCGAACCCAGGGCCTCATGCATGCAAGGCAAGTGCTCTACCACTGAGCTACCTTCCCAGCCCCTAATTTTGTTTCTTAACTGTTACTTGCCCACTTTGCATGCTCACTGTGTTCAGCATATTCCAGATTATCCTGTTCCTGCAGGTTTCAATATTTTGAAGAATATTATAGCCTTTTGTACTATATCTTTTGAAACTGCTATGTGTTCTGTACCTTATGCTCCTACTTTTGAGTTATTTTAGTTATTCTTTGAGGATTTAGGACTACATGCTCTTTGGCTAACTTGCTGTTAGTTCATTTAGTAAAGATATTTTTAGCAAATGCCTCAGTGCTCAACATTTATTTAATGTAGTTTTAAGATTCCATAAATAGGCCAGGCATGGTGGTGCATGTCTGTGATTCCTCCACTCAGGAGGCAGAGGTAGGAGGAACACAAGTTAAGAGGACAGCTTGGACTATACATAGTGAGACACTGTCTCAAAAAAAGAAAGAAAGAAAAATCCTTAACACTTTAGATGATTATTAGTTGTGGGACTGTTTTATTGTTCTCTAGTACCACTAGGGGGAGAACTCAACTTAGTCAAAGATAATTGTATTTAAATCTCATCTGAGTAACTCCTTTCAGATGATGTTAATCTGTTGCAAGTAAAACTTTTTCGTACAAACCAAATTCTCTCAAGATTCTTCACTTAATAAATTACATTATTATGTAGTCTGTTGTTCATATAAATAAAGCCTGCTTTCTAAAATCATGAAAATTATACATTTGTAAACATATTAGGTAGGAAAAGTATATTAGACGAAGTAATTCTTCATATAAAATATTATAATAATTCTTCATATAAAATATAATAGTTTATAGTATGTATAATGTATAGTATGTATAGTATGCTTATAAGGCTAGCCTTTTCAATTTTTTTTCAGAGTCTTCAGTTAACTTGAAACCCTCGGGTCTGCATAAAGTTCATGTGTTACTCTTCAGACATAACTACACCTGTTCTTTATAATACTGCCTCTTTCTTTGAAAAAAGATGTTTTATCTTGGTATCTTAAGTAAACTTAATCATTTCTGATTTTAAACATTTTCCTGGAGCTGTTTTTAAAAACTGCTCCATTTCTCTCTTCTCAAACAGAAAGACATTACTGGTGATTTCTGTCAGTGTTCTACTACAGTGCTAATTTGGAAACAGATTACATACCTATAAAATTAAGATGTTAAACTCCACAGTGCTATCAAATGTATGGAAGTTATATATTATTTCAACATTTTTATTAGTAATCTTCTTACTTCAAGATTATTACTTTCTCAGATAAAGCATATTTGGCAACATTTTTTGTCTTTATTTGCTAATATTTAGCCCCAGACCTTTATTTATTTATTTATTTATTTTTAGCCCCAGACCTTTTTATTGTTTTGTTTTGAAGTAGGGTGTTAATATTTTGCCTAGGCTGCTCTTTATTTTATTTTATTTTATTTTATTTTTGTTCCAGTCCTAGGGCATAAATTCAGAACCTGGACACATCCCTGAGCCTTTATGGCTCTATCATTTGAACCACAACTCTACTCCTGGCTTTCTTGGTAGTTAATTGGAGATAAGACTCTCACAGACTTTCCTACCTCTATGGCTTCAAATTGTAATCTTCTGATCTCAGCCTCCTAAGTAGCTAAGATCACAAGCATGAACCATCAGCACCTGGCTTCCAAGCTGTTCTTGAACCTGTGCTCCTCCTGCTTCTGCCTCCTGAGTCCTGAGATTACTAGTGTGCACCATCAAAGCCCTGCCCCAAATTTCTTTGTCAATAATGTTTTCCTCTTAATCATTTTAAACTACTTTACTCTCCTTCAACTTTTGCCATAATTTATATGTCATATCTTCCTTTTTTTTCTTTTTTGATGATACTGAGTTTTTGTTTGTTTGTTTGTTTTGTTGGCCATGGGGCCTGAACTCTGGGCCTGGGCACTACTTCTCAGCTCTTCAGCTCTACCACTTACTTGAGCCACGGTGCCACTTCCGGCTTTTTCTGTGTATGTGGTGCTGAGGAGTTGAACCCAGGGCCTCACGCATACATGGCAAGCACTCTACCACTGAGCCACCTTCCCAGCTCCAGGTTTTGGAATTGAGAGCTTTGTGCTTGATTGAG